TAATATATTTTTTTAATTATTTATAGATTGTATCCATGTTTGGAGAGACCTGTGTTTTTTCTTCTTTTTTTTATTGTGAGCCGCCCAGAGTCACCCGCTGGGGGAGATGGGCAGCATACAAGTCTGAAAATAAATAAATAAATAATATTAATTAAATTAATAATAATAAGGTGGCAGCTATCAGATGTGTGGATGTCAACTCCCATCATGCTGGCTTGGGAATTCTGGGAGTTGATGTCCACATATCTGAAAGTTGCCAACTTTGAAAAACACTGGTTTAGCTCTAAAACAGCATTTTGCAAGCTGGGTGACTTCTACATTTGTGGGCTTCAACTCCCAGAATCCCTCAGGCAGCATGACTAATTGCTGATAATTCTGGGAGTTGATGTCCACACTTCTAGAAGTTGTATTGGTTGGGAAACACTCCTTTAAAACATTCAGTAAGATTCAATAAAATGCATATGCTTTGCAAGGAGAACATCCCAGATTTAATTCTTGGTGAGAGTAGGGAAGATCAAACTCTGATCACATTTCTCCAGGGCTTCAGGCAATCAGAAAAGATCATACAGAGTTGGATGGACCAATAGCCTGACCTGATAGAACAGGGATGGGAACCTGTGGCCCTCCAAATGTTGTTGACTATCACTCCCAGCAGCTCCAGCCCAAAGGTCCAATGGTGAGCGATGCTGAGAGATCTGTTTCAACATTAGCCTCAGGCTCTCTATTCCTGCACTAGAAAGTAGAGTCCTCTAGTATCTCCTAGCCTCCTGTTTGGGAACAGCTGTCTGAAAAACTCCAAAGCATCACCGCACTGACTCTTTTCATTTGTCTGAACTGAAGATCTGCTGGAAAGAGGCCCTTCAAAATTGCCCTAGACTTAGATCTCTTGGACAGGATGAATTTGGACCTGTTGCCCTAGTCTCTGTTTTCAGAAAGGGTGGCCCAGTTTCTGAAACTTGCTCCTCATATTAGTTCAGCCATGCAAGCAGTTTTGAGTCTGCTTTGTATTTTGATGTCTTCATGACTGTGTGTGTGTGTGTGTGTGTGTGGCAACAAGGCTGGTGGATTGCTTGAAAACAGGCTGTGGGAGGGCTGACAGGTAGGTAGATGAGGGTTTGTAGAAGTGTTGTTGGTCTGTGGGAGGGAGGAAGGGTTTAGAAGTTTACTGACCTTTCGGATGGCATAATGACAACCTGGGATGCCTCAAATCAGTGAGCGAAGCCCTCAAAGGGACATGCTGGTCAGTTGAGGAGATAGCATGACTTCTGGCCTTGGGAACTCTCCAGATATTGGACTGGTTTCAGGAAGCGATAGACAATCAAAATAAGTCAACGGCAGTAGCAGACAGGTAGCAGAGCAGCTGAGTTGTAGCAACTGAAGATCTTTTACCAGAGACTGGTAAAGGTGGGTCCATCATAGCCAGGTTTCCTGGCAGCACAGGAACAGGGACAGTGGCCTGGGTTTACCTGCTCCCAGTGTTGCAGAGGGTTTGGTTACCCAGGTGCTGTCAGTGGGCCAGCTGGTGTGCGAGCAGGGCGTCCCTTTTGACCCACTTTCATCTCTCAGGGGCCTTTAATATAATCAAACATGGAACCCTTCTGGGGATTGGGAGTTGGGAGCAAGGTGTTGTGGCTTTCCCCCTTTCTCCAGGGCTGGTCCAGTTGGTGTTGGTGGGGGAACAGGTCTGGCCCTAAACCCTTGCCTTTCAGGGTGCCTCAAGGCTCTGCACTCTCCTCATTTTCATTTAACATCTACATCAAGTCACTGGATCAGGCTGTTTGTCGTCACAGGGTTGAGTACCATCAGATGATGCTCAATTGTACATCTTTGCCCCTGACCAACCAAGCAATGTTTTCTTGGTGCTTTCTCGGTGTCTGGAGGAGGTGGGGTCGGGATGGGAAAAAATAGGCTTCAGTTTTACGTAGGCAAGACCAACCGGCTGTGTGTTTTGGACCCCACCCCTCCCCCAGGATCCAGATCTAGGGATTTTCCACCTTTGGCCTCTGGGTGGAGTTGCACTCCCCTGTGTGCAATTTGGAGGTCCTTCTGGACTCTCGACTTCTGCTTGAGCAGATAGCAGCTGTGACCGGGAGGACCTTTACTGCAGCCATTTCTGGATAAAGAGGTCCTGCTCAAAGTCACTCATGCCATGGTCACCTCCCAGTTGGACTTCTGCAATGAGTTCTATGTGGGGCTGCCCTTAGAGACCATCTGGAAGCTGCCACTGGTCCATGCTGGCTGGGGAATTCTGGGAGTTGAAGTCTGCACATCTTAAAGTTGCCAAGGTTGAGAAACGCTGCCTTAGTGAATCAGGGAGGTTTCTGCGTGAGTTGCTTCTGAATATTATCTTGTTCCCGGGACTTAGGATGTTTCAGCCCCCTTTGCCTCGGTGGTACTTCCTGCATTCCATCAAGGTCATCTTTCTTACTCTCTATACCAGGTGAGCAGGCAACCAGTTACTCTACAGTGAGAAGGGCGGTGACAAATTTGAAATATAAATTAAAAATGCTGGTTCAGAAGTATGCAATTCAGAACACCCTTTCTTTAGCTTGAATTCCATGTCTTCCTACCACTCCAG